AACTATTGAACTAAGCCCAGCCATTGGATTGTTAAGACGTTTAGACACAAATATAGATGAGTGTCGAGGAATGTTTGACTATTACAAGGCAAGTGACCGATGTGGAAGCAGCATAAATAAATCAGACAGTCGGAGAGCACGTGTACACAGGGGAACAGTAGATGACTGAGATGCCGCAAGCGTGATGGATGAAATGTCGGGTCAGGAGAAATTCAAAGTGAAGACATTCTTGGTTATCATGGACCAACGGAAAAGTGCCCTATGCAGACGAATTGACGACGCCTATTCAACAGTAGTGCAGCGGTCTGGTGTTTTAACAGAGTGTGATTTAACATCAGCTGAAGACATCAATGCTGCAACATCAACATTTGTTAATGTCTATCCACATGACCTCACTCCTAACTTTCCAACGGAATTTAGACAGTACCTAGGTTGGGTGAAAGAGCAAGTACATCCCAATAATGCAACTGGAAGCGGTCAGAGCATTTTCAAACTCTTGCAAACCACTGGTGTCCACTCAGCTTTTCCAGACAGCGAGATATCATTGCGGATGTACCTGTCTCTAATGTCAACTAACTGCACTGGCGAACGTTCATTTTCGCAATTGAAACGCATTAAAGACGTTAAGCGTTCAACCATGTCCCAGCAGAGGCTAGGAATGCTAGCACTTCTTTCAATAGTTTCAATTGAAAGCGGTTTATTGCACAACGTCGACATTAACAAAGTCGTTGATGAATTCGCTGTTGCAAAGGCACGCAACGTGGCAATCGATGTAAAAAATAATAATACATAATTTTAGTGTTGTGAGACCTTAGTTACATTATCTTACTGGTATCTTGTTCATGTTCCATACTGTCATGCTTAGGACTGGCTGACAGACTGACACACACACAGACAGACTGTGCTTGTGTGTGTGTGTGTGTGTGTGTGTGTGTGTGTGTGTGTGTGTGTGTGTGTGTGTGTGTGTGTGTGTGTGTGTGTGTGTTTTAAAGGGGAGGGGGGGGGGATATTTTGCACCATACCGGTATCTAACTTTTTCAGGCCACTCAGTGAAGTGTGCCTTGGGGCCAGCTGGGTCTTAATCCAGCACTGGGTGAGACCCTTCCCTCCCGATATATAAACATGATGTACATCACCCTACTTAGTCTTCTTCTAAATCACCACCGAAAAAGCCTTTGATTTACTCCTTCATTACAGATTTTTTCCTCTTATTTCTCTGTCTTGCGACCATCTGTATAAAACATCCCCTCTATTCTTTCCTATAAATATCTCTTACTTTTGATCATAAGAAGCCTCTGCTTGAGCACCTTTTCTTCCCACTTACTTCTGTGATTTTGGAATGAATGTATCTGCTATTTTTATTTTTAATTATTCTTTATATTTTCACACTGAAAATTATATTTCCTTGTGTTTCTCAAGCTTCTTCGCATTCGATTTTGACAGCCTTCTCTCTTCCATCTTTTATGCGTCCTTGGTCACCAAACTTATATTTGTTCTGCTATATTTTTTAAGGGAATATTTTCTTCCATAGCATCTTTGCTGAATCATTACGTTTTTCCCGTATTTTTTCTTTATTACTTATATCAGCACATACCATTTTTAAACTCTTGGTTTGTCTTTAAAAGATTCTAATTTTACTGACCAAAAGCTACTCAAGACCCACCTCTCCTACTCTATTTTTTTCCAAAATGATGATGATGGTTCTGATGATAATGGTGGTGGTGGTGGTGGTGGTACTGCTGCTACTGCTGCTGCTGCTGCTGCTGATGATGATGATGATGATGATGATGATGATGAGGATAATAATGAGGATGAGGATGATGATGATTGGACAGTCCATGAAAGAAGAAACGTAATGCTTAATAAGATCAAAAGTTATCGTTCAACGACAAAGGCTCGTCGGAGACAAGCTGGTTTAGCACCAAACTCAGACAAAGATTCTGTATAACAAGATGGTTCACTACTCTCTTTGAACCAATTAAAAAAGTGTCCTCAAAATCCGGTGGTGCCCTCTTCGAAAAAGCACCCGCTTTGCGAACAGAGGTACTCTACTTGTGAGGAAAAAATCAAAGTGAAACTAACAAGTTTTTGTATAAATTATAATAAAAATTCGGAATAACGCCTTTTAAAATGGTCACCCTGACAAAAATCCTCTTCAGGTGGAAGGGGCGACTGTTTTCTTCGTTTAATTTGGCTTTAGAACGAAGGCAAGGGGTCATTAAAATAAAATAAACCCAAAACTCCGCTTTGAGCGAACCGCAACAGCTGATGCACAAGGTGGTGCTATTCCTATTCTTCTTCTGGAGAAACGAAAGAGAGCTTCAAAACAAAGACTGCAGCGACATCTGAACCAATGCGCGGACTTCCGCGGACACTTTTTTGCCGAGTGAACTATTTCGTTATGTACAATCTTTAGCTCAGACAACAGAGTTGTGGAAACCTCGCGGGCGTCACAGAAGAGGGGAAAGGGACCACGAATACGTCTTGCAACAGGAATTTTCTTTAATGGAATAGTTTGGAACTGGTTTAATGCACGATCATGTTTGGAGATGAGACCGATTTAACCCTCATATTTGAGAATCACGGAGCTAGACAAGCAAGAAAAGTCATCAATAAATTCATTATTGCAACATTTTATGTCGCGTCCAATCAATGCAGGATATATACCAGTTTGGAGGTGGACAATTTCAACCTCGCCACCCGGGGACAAGCCAGACTGAGTGGGATGCAAAATTCTAGAGGATGCAGATCGATATATTCCAGAAAATAAACTTTCCTAATTCGGGTTCGAATTCTCTTTTTTTGTGCAACGACGAACAGCCCAGCATTACACCTCAGACGAAGATGAAAACGCCTAAAATAACCCTATAGATAAAATACTGTACTCCAAAACTTAATAGGAACGGCACTTTCTTATCCCAAGTTCGTCTCTCTTTGAATTGGTAGTTTTGCATCTGTGGGAACTATAACCGTGTAGCCTCTTGTAGGCTTGTATGGTGTCAGAAGTTCAGATCGCATTCGCTGACTGTTTGGGAAAATTCAATTTTATGAGTGCTGTCAACTTTTCTTCAGTGCTAAGCTAAGTTAAAAAAAGAACAGTTCTTCATTTTAGAGTGCTATACACGCCGAAAAGTAAATATTTCCCTATATGTGGGCTTTTTTCTGATATGGCGCCTGCTGTCAACTTAAAAAGCTCGATACTGCACCCACAGTAACTCTCCCATTTCGGTGGAGGTAATATTTAGTTCACAACGCGTGCAGCTCTATACGCCTTACAGAACACACTTCAAGGCCTCGTGAGGCTTTGGCTAATAAATTATGCAACATACTATGCTCTTTCTATAACACGACGAAAGACACACGGCAGGAGGGATACCGATCACGTGACTAATTTGTTCTCTACGTTCCAAGACTCGGGCGAATAGATCCCTTTGATGAGTTCCCAGTACGGCCAGTAAGCTTGATTGGAAATGAATGTAGCGAAAATTGGGCAGCGAGGCCCCTGCTGAGTTGTGCAGTTTATGGCGACTTTGTCGTTAAGCGTCATATTTTTGTCCAAGGCGTAGTTGTAGTACGTGACACCCCCGACCACGCTGGGGAGCATGCCGAAAAGGTACACGTCATCGATCCAGAAGAAGGGCGTGGTCTGTGCGGCCTCGTACAGCGGTCTCATCAGGTCTGACGTCATGATGACCACGAAGCCGCTGCAGTAGTCGTAAGGGAACGTTTGCTTGTGTGAGAAGACGTGAGGATCTACACGCCACTTGCCCGTCCTCAAGATAGGCATCGTGTTTTTGTGCCACAAGTTGCAAAAAATCGACTTACGCTTACCGTTCATATGGTTTAAAAAAGAATATAACAACTTGTACATGTTTATTAAAACGTCATCGTCGATTTTAAGGACGAACCTTGAGTTGGCGCAATGCTCACTGATCCATCGATAGCCCATGACACCCTTGAGAGTGAGATTGTGGTAGTCGTCCTTGAAGTTCCCCATGACCGTATCGTTGTACGTGGTGTGTTCAAACCAAAGCACTCTCTCCAGAGTTTTGTTACTGGTCAATCCTAAGAGAAACGCAACTCGAACCTGGAATGGCAAGAAATTCGACTGTTTTGCAAAAGAATCCCTAATTCTCTGTCGTTTGTCCAGATTAGCTGGTGCAGTGTGGACGATGATAATCACATCGATCTTGTTGGCGTCTCTGCATAGATCTGGATTAACCATAATGTACTTCCCCACCCTTTTTCCAGGATAGTAGGCATCGTTAGTGAGGCTCGAGTCGTTCAAGTCTTCCTTAATAATTTGAATCTTTCGTCTCACGACCGGCGACAAGGTTGTGACAGTTTGTGTTGGTAGAGGCGTGCTTTCTCGAGTCTTTCCCGACTCTACGTCGATACGATGTTCGTTCTGTTGGGCGTACTTAGCCTGCTGGGCTCGTCGGGCGAATATGCCTATCCCTTGGTAAGACATGGAGAAAAAGAACAGGACGTTCACCGCTACGACGACAGTGACCAGAAGGTTCAGCTTCATCTTTCGGATAGTGCGTAGCGCCATTACTGCGCAAAATCTGTTGTATCCTGGAAGAAAAGAAATCAAAACAAATAATTTATAAACTGTCATAATGGATAGGTGTCTTCACGAATTATTTAGCGGGAGACAGACAGACAGACAGACAGACAGACAGACAGACAGACAGACAGACAGACAGACAGACAGACAGACAGACAGACAGATAGATAGATAGATAGATAGATAGATAGATAGATAGATAGATAGACAGACAGATAGATAGATAGATAGATAGATAGGGAGAGTGAAAGAGAGAGAGAGAGAGAGAGAGAGAGAGAGAGAGAGAGAGAGAGAGAGAGAGAGAAAGAGACAATGGGGATTGGCAAGGGGGGGGGGGGAGGGACACAATCCCTAATGTATAACTTTTTTTTCTACTTTGTTAATTTGTAATTCAGTTTCTTATCCCGAAACCGTTGGACATAACCGTAAGAATTTGTAATGTGTCTCTTGTCATTACCTTGTCTCGCATGAATCTTTTTTTTCGGGTGGGACTACATTTATTTTTTTACTATTTTTTTGTTATAATTTATTTATTTATTTTTTAAAAATTTTATTATTAAAAAATTATTTTTTAAAAATTAATTAATTAATTATATATATATTTATTTTTTTTTAATATTTTTTTTTATTATTATTATTTTATTTATTTATTTTTTTTTTTTTTGGGGGGGGGGGGGGGTTACAGAGCACGCAACTGCATAAGGTCATATGAGCGCACGAGACACATTGAACATTTTTTGGTTAGTAGAAAATTTTGGATTTTGCCCTGGTGGCGGCCGAAGCCTACTCTTATCGATTTTAGACCATCAAGGGATCTTTAACGTGCACAACGAGCACACGGGACCACCGAGATTTTTCGCCCTTGTCCGAGAAGGCAAGGTGTAGATCTTTCCTGCCAGAAGACCAGGGGTGTGGATGAAAGACAGCTGTAAGAAGGACCAGGGAGTAGTAGTAGAAAGAGGGACTACATTGACAGGCTTCATCGTATGTTAGTACATCTACTTTCTTCGACCGGTTTTGATACAAATTCTGCCCTTTTCTCTTCTAACTGGCAATGCTATCGCACACCTTATTTCGTTCGTTCATGGTTATAGTTTTGGGTCAGGTTTTTTCTTTTCTTTTTCTTTCTTTCTTTTTTTTTTTTTTTTACCTTGAACACCTGCGGAGTCTCTGCTCTCTCCCAAACCGGAAACTCGGTTGGACACCAGCTACGCAAATTCCGACAGTTGAATGAGACAAAACAAAATGTGCTTCATGTACTGCCGACCACGTAGAGATTTACACTTGCGTAGCGAGTCCAATGATCTATGCATAATCCCCTCGCCCCCTCCCCTCGCTCCCCCCCCCCAACTCCGCCCCGTTCTCACTCTTAAGGCCACATATTTTTTCTGTTTTCCTCTGATGACAAGGGTTACCGCTCTTGATTAATTCTAAAGCATAACTCAAATTAGAATATTATTACATCCTTATTTGTATTGACCTTCCGGGGATTTACTTGCTGGAGGAAGTCAAACGCTATCTTTTTATAATTATATGTATATTTTTACAACTTTATGCTAGGATGTCATGTGAGATTTTTCGTGCGCACATAACCTTATGCAGTTGCGAGCGCCGTAAAATTCTTACCAAACTGCTCATGTTTTCTCCCCATTTATGGAGGGTTCTGAATGTGCACATTTTCATACGATCTCATGAAAACATGAAATTTCATCAAGATCGGACAATAAATAGGAAAATTATGCTTTTGTATACTGTTTATTGCCGAAGAACATAATTTCGTGACAGTACGAAAAGAAGATTCAAATAGCGAAAGATCAGTTAATGAAACTACCAAACATCCAGTGTTCCAAAATTAAAATAAACAAAGCGGTTAGAAAGGTGGTGGGGAAAATGAATATAAAACATGGTTAGAAAATGTTCCAAAAATGAGTACAGGTCTCACTTTTTCAACACCATTCGTTTGTTTTATTGCGCCTCCACACTGCAGTAGATGAAGGATGGTGTTAAGTTGCAGTTAACTGTAGCATTCCTTCTCTTTAACATAACACACCCAACACACATACGCACTCTGGTCACATGACAGCGTTTTTACCCACATCACACCCACACCCACACACACACACACACACACACACACACACACACACACACACACACACACACACACACACACACACACACACACCATTATAAAGTAAGAGACGTCCACCGATTAGAATACAACGCATGCAACCAGGCTTCGGGCCTGTTTGTGAACCTAGGTGCTTTGGCGAGAGATTGTACATGATCTTTCACTTAAATTGATTGGGCATGGACGTCAATGTGTTAATCAATACTCTCACAGACAGCCCTGGTTTTTTTGTTAGTGCAAACAACATAAATCATGCAGAAAGGGGGTGATGACGCTTGATTAACTTGACTCTAAAGAGAAGAGACAAACAAATAGCAACAGACAACTCAAGTGTCCGAAACCTTGCATGCAGTCAGGAAAAGACTCCTTGACTTCACTCCCTGCCCCACCTATAACAATGAGGAGATATATCTCTCAAAACTCTGTGTAAAGCCAAGTATATTTTTATTTTTCTGAGCGTGTGATTTTAGGTACATCGAACGAGTCAGGAGCACAGACAACCACCATCTGCTTATAAGTATAAGTGCAGTCGCATCAAAACCCAATGAATTTAAACCAGGTGAGAACGAACAAAATCGAGCGATTTGTAACGTCTTTTAACAAAAATGTACAGCAGTCAGTGTTACAGAGCAATACCATACCTCACAAGCTGGTGCTGGTGGCATGGACCATGGTCATCTAAATGTAACTAATAGAAGGATGGTGAGGAGGAGGAGGAGGAGGAGGAGGAGGAAGAATACACTTAGCTTGTCGAAAACACCACTTCACCAACCATACTTGGAAATACTATATTATATGGGACACTGGGACACCAAAACTGCACAAAACCAACAGGGGCTCTCGTGGCCCAGAGGTTAAGCTGTTCGCCTCCCATTCAAAGGTCCCGGAATCGAATCTGGTCAACGACGGAAATTTTCTTCTCTAAAATTGTCCCCTTTCATCTACTTTCCTGCTCTCTAGCAATGTTCTCTCGTCTGCTTTCGTCTTCACTTTCTGCCCCCACCCTCCTTTTCCCCCTCCTCTGGGTTCCTGACTCTTTCTGCAGCTTTTCAAATGCTACCCCTTGGCTTATTCTTACTGCTGTCTGTCAGCCACATCCCTGATCTTCTGGTAGGAAGGATCTACACTACACCTAGCCTTCTCGGAAAAGGGCGAAAAATCTCGGAGGTCCCGTGTGAAAGTTGCGCACGTTAACGATCCCTTAGTGGTATAAAGTCGATTAGAGTAGGCTTCTACCGCCACCGGGGCAAAATTCAAAATTACTTACCCACCGAAAATGCTTGGTGTGTCCCGCACGCTCATACGACCTTATGCAGTTGCTAGAGCCGTAAAACACTTACCTAAAAAACAACAACCAAAATAAAAATTTAAAAAAACAACAAAAAACAAAAAAAAAAGATTCTCGCGACATTAGCTGTATATTTATAATGAAAAATTCTACGTTTAACAAATAAATACCAGGCGTGTGTCAGAAACAATGTCCTGGTGACAAAATTACACAGTGATGGAAAGGAAACACTTGGCCTACAGCCACGGCCCATGTGTAAGCCATGGAAGTGCCCCCACCGGCGTTCAGGTCAGCGCATTTCCAAGGAAAAAGGGAATGAGATGCAGGCAGGTCAGATTACAATTCCCCGAAACTATAGGCTATTCTTCTTCTGATTGTTTCTCTTTAACCTCGAGTACTCTAAGCCATAAAATGCATTGAGGTAACGTTGTTATGTAAGCGCTGCAACCATTGTTGTGGACTTACACTCGACAGGCAAATTCAACAAGACATAAATACATATAGCTTCTGGGGGCTTGAATACCCCGAAAGTAGTAACAGCATGCATTTTCATTAACACCACTTTGTACGAAGCCACCCAAAATAAAGCCCTGGGAAATCACACACAGACACACACACACACACACACACACACACACACACACAAACACACACACACACACACACACAAACACTCAAACACGCACGTACATGCACACATACACATACAGAGAGAGATGGTGAAGGGGAGGGAGGGG